CGTAATCAAACGGTCTCTTTGAAAGTTACACTAAAGCTCGGCAACAGATTATGGTTTTTGGAAACTGTACAATGTAATTTCCACTAATTTTGAACCCTCCTCATTTCCAACATCCAAGGATGTCAACCCAAAGCGGTGGAGAAACGAGAGTGGGGAGGGAGGCATAGTATGGAAATGCCCAAATTGTGATGGATGGCATGTTGCCACTAAATACGCTACTGGCCCAAAATTCCAAAAGCAGTTTTTGATATACTTTGCAAGTAAAAACGTAATAGGTGGAGATTACAATGTTTTGTACATACCTCTGGATGTCTAGATGATTTCATCCCTAAGTCTAATTATCGACGCATATCCAAACATTGCTTCAAAAAATGGCTTCAAAAAATAAAAAAAGTAGGCCCCCTATATGGGGTCTGCCGAATATAGTATAGGGGGTCTGCGGATTATAGTTGGGTCTGCCGAATATAGTATAGGGGGTCTGCCGAATATAGTTGGGTCTGCCGAATATAGTATAGGGGGTCTGCCGAATATAGTTGGGTCTGCCGAATATAGTATAGGGGGTCTGCCGAATATAGTTGGGGTCTGCCGAATATAGTATAGGGGGTCTGCCGAATATAGTTGGGTCTGCCGAATATAGTATAGGGGGTCTGCAGATTATAGTTGGGGTCTGCCGAATATAGTATAGGGGGTCTGCGGATTATAGTGCGGTCTGCCGAATATAGTATAAGGGGTTTGCGGATTATAGTTGGGGTCTGCGATCTTCGGATTATACAGGTCTGCGATCTTCGATCTTCGGATTATACACTACCTTAAAGGTCCGATTTGCAGTTAATCAATTGCAATTGAGAATTTAAAATCCCATCATATTTTATGTTTTAGATCTCCTTTCGACAAAAAGCTACCTATTTTAATATCGAAATACTTAGAATTAAATTACTCGATGCACTTCAATCTAAGTTGAAATCACCACCCTTTTCTAAATATTAAGAGAGAGTTTTTCGTTTAATTAAACGAAAGCAAATATACAAATTTCAATATAAATAGCATTCGTGAAAATCCCTTTATTATCATGTACATGAAGGAACGCGTGGGAAACTAAGTTATAACGACAGATGGCTGAGCTAGGTAACTGATTATAGTACACCGCTATAGGATTTTGAAGGATAATTATCATATTTAAGGCCAGTCATCGCGCATGGTTGACTTTATTCATCTCACCTATCAATAAGCTGTAAATTAAAATGGGCTGTAGGATTCTATACTTGAAAAATGGCGAACACCCCGAGCAATCGTGATACGTGCAGGTGGGTGACAAAACCTTTCTCTTCAGCACGCGACCTTATATTCCATTGATCACGTGTCTGAATGAGCGTCTACGATTAAATTTCTAATAAAATTTTCAAGAATGAATAAAAGATAAAGTCATTATTAATATAATACGATTTTCAAACAACCTGGTGTAATCACCCGGGGAATATTAATATAAACAAAAAATATGCGGGAATGTGTTTAATTATATTTTAAAAAGCTTTTTAATCTACCGTTCTAGGAAGGCGGAGAATACATCTAAACCGATTTGGTAAAAGTAGGAATAAACTGTCCATTTTGTATGGCCAGAGGATGGAAACCTAAATACACCACTGGGTGTAATACATGACTCATGACCCAGATAAGAATTGGGAACCTGAATGAGAAAAACCATAGAAAATTGGATAGATTGCTATTATATAAACTTGTTTTAGAATGGCTATATATTTAACCTTAATGTCCTATAAATTCTTCTGTCTCTCGAGATATCACCTTTTACAGAACCAAAATTTAGTTTATCGATCCTGGTTCAAAAATGCAAAGAATAAATTTACAGAAAAAACGGTTCGAAACAATTCGTCGTGATTAGGCCTATATCGTTGTTCCAAATAAAGACTAATAACAATAGGCCAATAAGATGAATGACATCCTGCAATAAGGCATTAATTGGTTTATTGTGCAATTATTTTTGCTTATTGATTGTTCTTCGAGTGCATAGGCTATTTTATTCACAAGACAAAATATTACGCAATAGATGTATATATAGAATAAATAATTATGTTTGTCATCTCTGTGTTACTATATTTAAATAGGGGACTTCCACAACAAATCATTGTTTATAAATAGTAACTACGTCACGAGCGACCTCGACCTTGCCTCGACCTACGCTAAACAGAAAGTTGATACTGGGTCAATTGTAGTGTGGGATATCCAGACTGGGTATCACATTTAATCGCGTTTAAAAAAAAGGTACTGGTTAGAGGTGACTATATAAATTGAAGTAAACATAACGTAAGCGAATATTAATAGGTCACAAACATGAAAACTGTATGAGAAGTTTATAAAATTCGGTTAATCATTCGACTGTATCTGAACTATATTATAGACATACTAATAAAACAGTAAATACATATCACAAAAGATGTCGACGTTTTTTGCATCGTTTGGGGATCTCCAATAATATCTTTCGACATGTCGTTATCCTGGTCACTCTTGAAGGGTGGACTTTCTGACGTCAGTCTGAGTACCATATTATTTTAGATAAGTAGCAGAAAAATGGAAAGTGGGTTAATGAGGTAAGAAAAATGTCACCAATATTGAATTGTTCAAATAAAACTGTTAGATTTAAGAACTCATAGAATAAAGCTGGTATTGTGTAAATTAGATCTATACATACAAACTGTTACACAGTGCGAGGTGATAACCAAATGTTTTTGTCTAATCGAAATTGTAGGCTTACTGGTCAGATGTAGGGTAGGCTAGTACGTACTAATAATTAACCAGATATCAGTTGTATGCTTTTTTCTACACATTTTAAAACAATCTCTGTAACTATCCTGTAACAGCTCTAAAACAATCCTGATGGCATCAAATCGGCTTATCTTGGGATAAGATATAGGCTAATATTTTACCGTGCCTTATCATCTTTTATTTCTTTAATCCCCTCAAGCCTCAAGCCTTTGTTTTAAAAGGATTATAAAGATATATTAGTAAGGTGTTAAAGATTTACAATCGTCTTGACAACCGGGTGTTGTTTTTGTTAAATGGTGATTTAAGGAGTTCAGTAGTCAATAGAAATTACGTTAAGCCCTGGGGGTAAGGCTAACCACTGGACAGATCTATAATAGCCCAAAATAACCTATCTGAAATACAGTGGGGTCTAGGTTTAAATTTCTCGACAAGGGTTCTCGCTTTTTATTATTGTAACACATTATTAACGTCGGAAATTTCCATAATTAATATTACATCGGTATAAGAGATACGTAATTCCAGTGTCATTTTGACACACTTTGATTATGTCGATTTAAGATCCCACCATAAAGCTATGTTTGCATAATATCGAGTTGTTTTTCGTTACCAAATTTTTTATCTATCCACATATCAGAGTGGAAAATTGTTTTTCTTACAAAATATATACATTTACAATTTAAACACCCCAAATCTATTTCAGTCATTTTGTTTAACTTAAGAAACAAGGAAATGTTAAACGTGAAGGCACATAAACATCAATTTTTTGTGTTTGTTTTAAAAACTCTCTAGAAAGTATGCAATCTATTTGCCAATAAATTTTTAAACAGTTGATGTGCCATTGTTTTATTGAATAATAATGTGATAATTCATTCCAGAAGGCCTTCGTGTCAGATCAAATGATTTCAATATTCCATAAGAAACTATCTAGAGAACCTTCGGTGCTCAAATTGTGTTAAATTCTATCTTCACGCCGTTAATTTCATATTTTCACCTCAACATGTATAAGGTAGGTTTCAAAACTTCATTCATTTCAAAATCTGTAAGGATGAATACACCATACTCTCTTGTTAAACTTTTATTTTAAAGTTTACATCTTATTTAACATGGATACTTGTATAAGCTGACCACCATCCTCACCGTCCTTCACACATCTCCTACCTACCCCATTACACAACGACATCTTTACCTTAGCTTTTACCTGCGGGCAAGAGCAGAGCAAGTATTGAGGTGTCAAGGGAATATTTAATAAAGAGTGTTGACTGGCCAGACGATTAAGATCTAGGGATTAATTAGGCCTACTGTTTCCATAAGGACAAGCTTGCTTTAATTTGCCACCAATATTCTAATAAATCCTTTGTTATCCTAAATCCTACCACTAGGTGTACTACAATTCTGAAGTGAATATACATCTCAAATAGTTAAGACTATAATATCTAATTTAGGCATTTTTGATATAGGGATGTTTGTACGATGAAAAAAAATTCTTTTTAGAAGTCAATATTGTTCCATCATAGAGCTATATTATAGTTCTATGGTGCCATATGGTGTAATTTTCTTTGTTTACTACCGGGTATTATGTGGTCACAGAATTTTCTGTAAATTTCTACCGCATTAATTTCAATCATCTTTTCTACATTTACTATACCAAATAATGTTTGAACTATTTAGTAATAAGCACGAAGGTTGGTTAATAATTTAGCATTATTAAAACATACGTTAAAATTCTCGACTTGTAAAACGGGTTGTTATTATTAACAAAGCCAGTGTTTACACTGCAATATTTATTTTTAGTAGTTTCCATATAAGGAAGTCATACTTCTATTTCTCATCATTTGATAGGTTGCAATAAACCATGTGACTTTAGAATATGACGTCACTCCAGCTCCTTACAAATACACTGAACACAGACGCCATTTGAGCGGAGGTCGAAGCGAGAAACAAGACGTGAAATTACTGCCAGTGAGAAGGCGAAAAGTCTCTGAAGTGAGCGGGACTTTGTGAACATAGTGTGGAAAGTACTTGAAACAGGACCGTGATATTTTTAAAGGAATTGAGATTGTCTATAGTTCGTGAACAGAGTTTTAACTATCCTGACCTGATTGTTTTGATACGCCATTTTTGACGAACGAAGAGGTCGCGTATACAGTTGAGATTGTATAGTGTTTCATTCCACAATTCGTAACGGGTTATTTCTTTTTATGTAAATACGTAAACAATTTATTATGAAGGACGAAATTACAAGTGCCGCAGAATTCTTGACAGGCCTTTTGAAATCTAGCAAGGTATCGAAAGAAACTGTCGAAAAATTCCACAACATTTTAGTCCAGATATTGTGTAATCGTTTTCATAATCATTGGTTTCCAGAAAAGCCATTCAAAGGGTCCGGGTACAGATGCATCCGAATCAATCACAAAATGGACCCTGTCATTAAGGAAGCCGGAGAAGCCAGTGGACTCCACGATTCCATCTTAAATACCTACCTACCACGAGAACTCACAATGTGGATTGATCCCAGGGATGTGTCTTATAGAATTGGTGAAAATGGAAGCATCGGAATGCTGCTTGCAGAAAATATGTCTCAGGACTCTCATTCATCCGAAAATCTGTCCAGTGATCTCGAGTCCAGTTCTCATCAATCGTCCATGTATAGTTCTACCTGTAGTAAAGAACAGAATATCATGAATGTGCCCCGAGATATGGGACTCAAACTGGCCGCATTTGTTTACAGCTAAGTTCCATTTTCCATCTCAATCATCTTGCCGAAGCATTCATCTGTGCTGACCATACGCTGTGTGCGGACCCTTCATTCGATTAATAAACTATGCTGAGCATAGTTAGAGACAGTATTAATATATTCATTGTATCGTATCGAAGGCATTTTTACATTTAATCGTAGTGCTAGTATGGTTGTGCAGGGTATTCCAAAAATGCAATGGTATGATGTATCATTTTGAATGGTGTGCATGGAAGAGTTCATTTAATTAATTATTCACCTGATCAATCTAATTATATTGTGTATCGTTGTATCGACTTATGTGTGTACTAAAATATTTGTGATTTATTTGTGATGTGGGGATGAGTGGACTCATTTTAAAGAGACAGGACATGTCAATACGGCAGGGATATCGGACTATCAAAATTGAGCGCATTTTTATTTGTTCAAAGAACTTTCATGCGTTCATCGTCTTTCATATATTCCGTGTTCATGAAACCTGATCTCTTGTTTAACGACCAAAGTTTTTGATGTAATTTTATTTGTAAAATATCGTTTCTGTACAGTAAGGTTTATTCATGTAAAAAAAAATGGCCAGATATTATATTATTGATACTGTACAGTAATATTTTGCAGAAAAATATAGAAAAAGGAAGAAAAAATGGAATAAATCCCAAATATTTAATTAAAATTTAAAATAATATTTGGATTATTTTTTTCCCTATCAAGTGTACCATATTTTTGAGCAATTACTTGGTAAGGTTAAATGGTAGCCGAAAACGGCTATGATATGTGTTAAGTGTTCATTATATGAAAGATAAAACTGGAGAAATGATTTAACTACCGAGAATTGCTCAAAAATGAATATGTGAAGTCCTTGGGTTGATGAAAGTTGGCCCACCCATTTTACCAGACCGTAATGGAAATGTATATAGGGACTTGGATACGGTTACATTACAATAACGGATAGTTAAACTTTACTGCTCAGGTATAACCTTTTGATCCCTTTTATTTTTGCAATGCATGTTTGGGGATGTTGATATTTTCGTCAATGTTGGAAAGGCCATTTATACGTCTTGAAAGAAAACGATACCATATGGTGTGTATACTGTCTCCATATCATTTATAGCAATTTGTTCACTAGCTTAAATTACTGTTACTAAAGCCTAATGGCGTTCGCCTGTTGAAAACAATATCGGCTATTTAGACCTCACGAGTACACTAATATCACTTTCATTTTCTTCTTTGTTCATATCGAGAGGGTACTCTTAAAAATCGACGGAAGGAGTTACTTTCTAGTGGAGCAATGAGTCACAATTCATAAGAGATATATAATATATGCATATTTCACACTATACCGTGGAATTGAAAAGAAAAATATGACATTACTTGAATAACAGCATGGAAAACAAAAGGTTAATTTCACCTCTGATTATCTCCTGCTATATTCAATAACACAAAATACAATTTGTACTCGAGCATTCAAAAAAGAACATTCCACAAACTTTTTTTCACATTTACGTTCTACTAAACTTAGGGCTTCTCAAATCACCTTTCCAACAGAATATATGAACGTGAATAGTAAATAATCTATTTTTAGCTCTGATAAGCGCAACGCGGACATATTCCAAGTTTAATAGTAGCTACTCCCTATAATGTATGTGATTTTAAAATCATATGATGTTGAAAAGGAAGTAGTCTTCCGTTATTACATCAGATTTAAATAATGAATCCATTTATAACATGTAGGATGTCACACCATTACAAAATCAAGTCAGATAAAATTATCATAGATATTGCTATAATAAAACAGTTTTACAACAATAGTCTACACTTTACGTACAGAATTGATTCAATGACGAAAGACGAGGAAAAATTATAATGAAAAACATTATGGTAAGGCTTCATGCCTAGTGACTAAAAGGCTCTAATAATGATTAGCTGTGGTATTCGTAATAATATATAACATTAATTATGCGAACTGAATGCCAAGTAGCCTATATTAATACGAACATATGGCACATTATTGTAAGAAGATTGAGGGTTTTAGGATATATTTATGAGACATAAGTCTAAGAGTTTAAAACAATTGAAGTAAGCAAGGCTATACAATTGGAACTTCGTAGAAAATAAAATGAATATATGAAAGGAATGTACGTAGGTTGAAAATTGAGTCAGTTACACTTACAATGGTAATGATCTTACACCAGGCCTTTATAACTAATGATAAAATCAATATAAACAGCGAGAAACGTTCGTGTTGAATAATCAATATTTATACTAATTAATTATACTCTTGATTATACAAAACTAATAGTCGAAGACACAATATATTATCACTTGCGATGTTGTAATATCTTTATATGACTACATACATGTACACACAAACCCCATTTAGTGAAGATCTAAACTAGGTTGGTAAAAATTCATTTCTAGGTAAACATATTTTTACATTAACTTATACTACACAACTTTAGCTATATATACATATACCACTCGACAGTTGTTACAACATGCATATACACTGAGTTCACGGAAATAGGACATAAAGTGGATAGCTTTGACTACATAACACATGGCATAGTGCGGATGAATTTTGACAACAAAACATATGAAATGATGTGGATAGTTATTGACGACGTAACACATGACATTGTGTGAATAATATGATATCGTTATAATCTAACGTAGTAATATCTAACGCACCATATGACATGATTTGTAAAATTTTTGACAACATAACACATGTTATAATAGGGATGAGCATCGTATCACAATATAGATGATGTGGATATATTTTATCAAAATAAAATTTAACATGGTGTGCAAAATTCCTAATCTCACATCGCATCACAGACTTCGTGAAAATACCACAAGAGCTTATAGTTTTTAAACAACACAATACATGACATATCAGAAAACATGACTTGATAAAGACAATTCTTGACATCATATTACAATATAAACTTTGAGAATACAACAAATGACTTGATACGGATAATTTCTCACATCATCACAATTATAAATACAACACATGACTTGATACGGATAATTTCTCACATCATCACAATTATAGACTTTGAGAATACAACACATGACTTGATATGGTTAATTTCTAACATCATATCACAATTATAGATTTTGACATTACAACACATGACTTGATATGGATAATTTCAAACATCATATCACAATTATAGACTTTTACATTACAACACATGACTTGATGTGGATAATTGTTAACATCATATCACAATTTTAGACTTTAACATTACGACACATGACTTGATATGGATAATTTCTAACATCATATCACAATTGTAGACTTTGACTTTACAACACGTGACTTAATATGGATAATTGTTAACATCATATCACAATTGTAGACTTTGAGAATACAACACATGACTTGATATGGATAATTGTTAACATCATATCACAATTGTAGACTTTGACATTACAACACATGACTTGATATGGATAATTGTTAACATCATATCACAATTGTAGACTTTGACAGTACAACACATGACTTAATATGGATAATTTCCAACATCATATCACAATATCACAATTGTAGACTTTGACATTACAACACATGACTTGATATGGATAATTTCTAACATCATATCACAATTGTGGACTTTGACAGTACAACACATGACTTAATATGGATAATTTCTAACACAATATCACAATTGTAGACTTTTACATTACAACACATGACTTGATATGGATAATTTCTAACATCATATCACAATTGTGGACTTTGACATTACAACACATGACTTAATATGGATAATTTCTAACATCATATCACAATATCACAATTGTAGACTTTGACATTACAACAATGACTTGATATGGATAATTGTTAACATCAAATAACAATTATAGACTTTGACATTACAACACATGACTTGATATGAATAATTTCTAACATCATATCACAATTATAGACTTTGACATTACAACACATGAATTGATATGAATAATTGTTAACATCATATCACAATTGTAGACTTTGGGAATACAAAACATGACTTAATATGGATAATTTCTAACACAATATCACAATTGTAGACTTTGACATTACAACACATGAATTGATATGAATAATTGTTAACATCATATCACAATTATAGACTTTGAGAATACAACACATGACTTAATATGGATAATTTCTAACATCATATCACAATTATAGACTTTGACATTACAACACATGACTTGATATGGATAATTGTTAACATCATATCACAATTGTAGACTTCGAGAATAAAACACACGACTTGATATGGATAATTTCTAACATCATATCACAATTATAGACTTTGAGAATACAACACATGACTTGATATAGATAATTTCTAACATCATATCACAATTGTGGACTTTGACATTGCAACACATGACTTGATATGGATAATTTCTAACATCATATCACAATTGTAGACTTTGACATTACAACACATGACTTGATATGAATTATTTTGTAACATCATATCACAATTGTAGACTTTGACATTACAACACATGACTTGATATGAATAATTGTTAACATCATATCACAATTGTAGACTTTGAGAATACAACACATGACTTGATATGGATAATTTCTAACATCATATCACAATTGTAGACTTTGACATTACAACACGTGACTTGATATGGATAATTTCTAACATCATATCACAATTGTAGACTTTGACATTACAACACATGACTTGATATGAATAATTGTTAACATCATATCACAATTGTAGACTTTGAGAATACAAAACATGACTTAATATGGATAATTTCTAACATCATATCACAATTATAGACTTTGACATTACAACACAT